ATCATTGTGGTTTTGAGGATAAAGAATAATAGTCAAGGTTTTTCTGTATTATTAGTATTACAGCATTGTCTAGATGCCTTAGCAGACACTGAGACCAGACTTTGCTGTTGCACTATCTTGACACACATAGTAAGAGTGTCTGCCCGGAAACACTTTATATCTAAACAGACAAGAGAGAAAATGGGTGAAGAGGAAAAGAGACAGAGGAGTGAAGGGGCTTGCCAAAGCTCACACAGCAGGTTAGTAACTGAGCTGTGAATAGAACTACCAGATCTAGGAAATCTCAATCTGGTGTCCTCATCACTAGACCACACTACTTCTCCAGCACTGAAAAACAAGTTGATACTAGCAGACTTAGTTTTCACTTGTGACCAAGATTCAAGGAATAGTGTAGAAGACATGCAGCATTCTAATGAAAGTTTGTATTCTGATGTTCAGGAAAAAAACAATACTTCACATCTAACATACTTGGGTATAATAGATATTTTTAAAATTAATAAAGTGTATTTAAAACAATAAAGTATTATAATCATGTGATTTAGCTTTTACAAAAATTGTATATGCAGATATTTATGCATCTTAAACATCTTCAGTGATAATATTTTAAGTGATTATGTACAGAAAAATAACTGTAAATTAATAATACAGGTTTTATACACACTCTCCAACTGATTTATTTAGCAAAGGTGATTTTTTTATTTGTAAAACAATTGTGCCAATTCAATTAAGGTTGTGAAAATTAAAATGGAACATAGTTCCTCTTACTCTCAGTACTAAAAAAGATTATGTAGTTAGAATTTAGTTATTTTTGCTGAGCATATGCAATACTGACTAGAATCCAGCTGATTTTTCCCTACTCATATTAGCTTTGTAGCACTAAGTAGTAAGAACTATTGACCCTCTTTCACCCAAGTTAAGTAAAGATCTATGACTCAGTAATACATAGGGAGCAGATATGCTGAGTAAGAAGGTGCCATGTCTATTATTTTCTTTCACTTTTTCCACAAAATGATCAGTGCCTTGCTATAAAGTCATTTCACTAGGACCAGTAATGGTCAGGTGGTCAGCACTTCTCAAGATATGACTTAAGTCAGGTGCATTGTTGCTAAATTGTTGGAGATAATGAAAAATCAAGGTAATGGATCTTGATTCAGCAAAATGCTTAAGCATAAAAGTCCCACTGAATTCAATAGACTACTCATATGCTTAAAGTTATAGCATGTGCTTAAGAACTTCCATGAATCAATGCCAGAGTCCACCCTTCAATACTTGAAAGACAGAAAGAAGTCCCCCCCCCCATATAGATCACTTACTTAAAAGGGGGGGGGGGGAAGAGTCATACTTCTGACTAAACACTGTTTTCTTTGATTATTACCAGTAGCATCTAAAATGACTGACTAAAATAGATCAGAGACAAAATCATAATTTGTTGTTTGTTCCTCTCCTCCCCCCTCACCCATCCCTCCAACACTAATGTGTTAACTGGATGTTCCACAATGCTTTCTATATACTCAGTTCCACTGTTTCCCTGTAGAGCCAATTTGATAGTTTCTCTTCTTGTTCCAGCTAGTTCTTTCACAAAGTAACCAGGGAGAAAAAAAATAACAAAAAGTAATTGCTGGATTTAAAAAAAAAAAAAACACAAAAAATTTACAGGAGATGTGCCAATGAAACTATATGTAACTTTTAAAAATTGACTGTATTTCAAGTTGATTCACTGATTCCAAGACCAGAAAGGATCATTGTCATCATCCGGTTTGATGTCCTGTATAACACAGACTGATGCACTTCCACCAAAATAATTCCTAGAGCATATATTTTAGAAAAAGATCGTGACTGAAAATTTTAATGTAATCTTGATTTTAAAATTGCCAGTGATGAAAAACGGGCCATGACTCTTGGTAAATTATCCTCAGTGTTAAACCATTACTCATTTCCAGTCTGAATCTCTCTGGTTTCAACTTCTAGCCATTGGACCATATTTGACCTTTCTTTGCTACATTGAAAAGTCCACTATTAAACATCAGTTTCTCTTTGTTAAGAAAAATATGATAGCTCTTTAATTTTTTTCAAATGCCGGGCTTGAATCTTTCCTAGATTATTCATGACTGTACACCAGACAATCGAAAGTATTGTTCTAGTTTATAACATTGTGTCTGTCTTAGTGTTTTGGCCAGTTGCATATTATTTCTTTTACTCTATAATATAAAAAATGTTCCTATAAACAAAAGAAAAACTACTGAAGAGTCTGCATTTTTAATTTAATTTGATTTGGTAGAAAACCAACCATCAGTAATTAGAGAGAGAATGTAATATGACTGCTGCTTTTAAAAGTTTAAAATGTATTGCGCTAGAGCCTTTGCTGATATACATCGTGGTAGTTCTGCTGACTTCATTGACGAGACAACAATTTAACTAATTGACATCTGGTGTGATTGTGATTTGTTTTTTTTTAAACTGATTACGGTTAGAAAGGGATTAGATTAGATAGCTGGCTATGTTTACCAACTGTACAAAAATATATAATGTACTGAACTTTTCTAAAATAAATCATTTGTATTTTACATTTCAACAGTCTTTTGTCCAGCTATATCAAAGCACTTCACAAAACTGAGCATCACTGTCCTCTATTTTATAGGAGAGGATATCTAGATACAAAGAGGTTCAGTGACTTGTCCAAGGTCATACAGTGAGTCAATAGCAAGGTCACACAATGAATCTCTATTTGATTCCTAACTTTCTGGTCTAACATCAGACCTACAGGGTTTATAAAATGAAAACACTGAAAAAAACAAACAGGTCATGGGATCACAGTACTCCTAAATACAAGGCAAAACAAAGTCACAAACTTACAAAGTTTGAACAGTTCGCAAAAATATTTTAAACAAGTCACTCAAATAATATTTTAATTTGAACCAATATATTTTTAAAACATCACAATAGCCTGCACTGCATAGTGCCAAACAATCGGTATGTTTCTTACCCATCTCCCTCCCTTCCCCATTCTTTCATGAAGCAGAGGGGAAGCCGACAGCTAAGTGGACAGGGAAAGATAGGGATACTTTTTGTTTTTAACTGGGATAACAATTTCTCTTTGTACACCCATATTGGACAGCAAGACAGCCTGTCATGAATCTTACTGTCATGGAAACAAGTCACTATAAATGAGCTTTCTAAGTGATAGACACCTGAATGCCATACACATCACTACTGATTGGGAAACCAAATGTCCCCAGAGCTGCCCAGTGCCAGAAGTCTGGACAGCGAGCGAAACAAAAGTTCTCTCTCGTTAGTTCCTTCTTTCCATCTCTTCCCTGAGCAGGGCTCGTCACACCCCACACCAGCCTCCTTTTCAGATCAGGAGCCCCAAGAAGTTTCCTAGTTCAGAGCTGCCCAACTGCTCGGTGGGAAAAGAGCTTCCCACACGCCACTGCCGAATGGCTCCTCTCCCTCCCTCCCCCACCTTCCTCCACTCGACAGATGCACTTTCCAGGAGCCGAGATGACCCCCTCACCTACCTCAGCTTGGCGGCGAGGCTGCCACGAATCAGGGCCAGCAGCCTGCAGGGAGGTCGCCGCTCGTGG